TAAGATAATTAATTAATGAAATATTTAAATAAGAAATTAAAATAAATACTAATTCTTTATTTAAATAAGTGATTAAATAAATAATTAAATAAAGTTATTAAATTTTAAATACATAAAACCAATTAAGATAATTAATTAATGAAATATCTAAATAAGAAATTAAATTAAATATTAATTTTTTATTTAATCAAGTGATTAAATAAATAATTAAAAAAAGTAATTAAACAATAAATAAATAACATACATAACTAATTAAGACAATTAATTAAAGAAATATTTAAATAAGACATTAAAATAAATATTATTATTTTTATTTAAATAAGTGATAATTTGAATAAAGTAATTAAATATTAAATAAATAATATACATAACCAATTAAGATAATTAATAGAGAAATATTTAAACGAGAAACCAAATTAAATATTAATTTTTTTATTTGAGTAGGTGTTTAAAATAAATAATTAAATAAGGGTCAATTAAGATAATTAATTAATGAAATATTTAAAAGAGAAACCAAAATTAAATATTAATTTTTTATTTGAATAAGTGTTTAAAATAAATAATTAAATAATTTATTAAATATACATAATCAATTAAGATAATAAATTAATAAAATATTTAAATGAGAAATCAAATTAAATATTAATTTTTTATTTAAGCAAGTGATTAAATATATAATTAAATAAAGAAATTAAATATTAAATAAATAATATACATAATCGATTAAGATAATTAATTAATGAAATATTTAAACAAGAAAGTAAATTTAATATTAATTTTTTTAATTTGAGTAATTGTTTAAAATAAATAATTAAATATAAAGTGAAAAGTGAAAAGTGTTTGATTTTTTAATTTGTAAGTTAAGGGTATTTTTGTCTTTTGAAACAAAATGCTATTTTTGTAATTATATAAACTACCTAAGGGTATTTTTGTCTTTTACTCAATAAAAGGCTATTTTGGTGATAGGCAAAATTTTTTTGGTTAAAGTGAAAAATTGCACCTTTGACTTGGCCAAACTAAAAATTACCCCCCTATACCGAGACCTTGCTCCAACTTTTGCAATATTGCAATTATGGTTCCCTCATTTTAAACTCTTTCTAGTGTAATCTCACATCTTTGGTTTTCTTCAAATTACCTTTTTCACCACATTGGTCTCCAAACTTCCAAACTTTGCACTTTGGTCCTTTAAATTTAGTTCACAACTTTGGTTTTTTTTTTTCTTTCTTTCGAAATTTGGTCCATTAAGTTCCAAAATATTCAAGTTGATCCCAATGTTCTTATTGTCCATTTTAGTCTCCCAAAACTTTCCAAATGTCAAATTCAGTCCTGAAAACTTACGAAATCATCAATTAACTATCCAGAGCTTCCAATCAAGTACTCAACTTCCCTATAGCTATTAAATCTGACTCGTTTTGCTCCAGTTATGCTCCATATGTCTTTTGTTTTGCTTAATACATCTCCAAGTCGAGGTTTTCACCAAGAAAAAAAAATTACACACACTAATATGAGTAAAAATCCATCCATCCAAACAATCAATCAATAAATTGATTTAAGAGTCTTGATAAGCATGTAAACCACACTTATTAGTTAACTGAACTCGGTGCTTGAACTGCTTCATTGGCAGTTTTAATTAAACTAGTTTTGTGACCGTGCAATGCATGGGTTGACTTTTGTTGAAGGTAATATTAGTTTGTTTAGTATTAGGGATTCACGTGAGATCTGCGTTGAATGAGTTTTTGTTTAGCAAAGAGAGTATTTAATTGGTGTATAAGGAAGTCTGAGAAAAAAATGAAGATGGAGCTAAGTGTATGAAGAAAAGTAGAAAATACATTAGCATTGAACATGAAATACTAAAAGTAGCTCAAAACCAGTCGATAAAAAAGAAAAAAGAAGAAGAAACAAATGGAGAAATGCAAACAGCACAACCGTGAACTAAAAATATAAACTTCCATACGGAGAAACAATGGCACAAATTGTTGGATATTGGTTAAATAAATCGAGAATTGGAAATCGATTAAAGTGACTTCGTATCGACTTCGACCAAATACTCAAAAGCTCGATTCAATCCGTTTAAGCAAAATTGTTTGCCACTTCGCGGCTTCGGGGCGCACAAACGGGGATCGACCTGCCCGGTCAGGTCGCGAGGGTCGAGGGGGCAGCGCCCCTCGTGGGGGGTCGGGGGCAACGCCCCCGAAAGAGAATTTTGATTTCTCTGCATGTATTGAAGGGTATATTTGACATTTCAAAAACCAATATCGGATGAATGAGAAATTACGAAAAAGGACGAAAATCAGTGAATAGACACCTTTTTATAAAGGTGGTGCATTGTTTGGAAAGGATGCATGGTTTGGCCCCAACCATTTCGTCCACACCCTTTCATGGTCTATAAATAGGACCCTTTGGGTGTCCTATTCCTCACAGTTTGATATGCAAAACGTCTCTCATCCTCTCTTCTATCCAAAATCAAAATCATTCATTTATTTTGATTTTCTTTCATTTCATCCTTGGAGTACATAAGCCTAAATTTGGTTCGTTGTACTTGTATTTTGGAGTGCTACAAACACAAGTGTAGCCGTTGTATCTTGGGAGTCGATTGCCGAAATCCGTAGGCACCGTTGCGGGGCAAATTCGACTTAAGGACAAAGAGTCCAACTCTTGCCTCGGCTTTGTCCCAATCTTTATACTTATTTTTGGCGTCTCTATTCACAAAATTCTTCCAACACAAATAACTAAAGAAACTAAAATATTACCATTAGCCCTCAGTAATTAAAAATTAATATATGATGGTATTTAGGGGGAGGGCAGAAAAATAACAGAGGAACACAAATTATTAAGATTGTCGTTTAAAATTGTAGTTCTCAATTCAATCCTGGTAAGAACAATAGAAAGCCATACAAACCACAAACACGATGCAATGTCAATGTGTATATTGCAATTATTACTTTAATACATTTTCTCTTGCTCCCTCTGAAAATTTGAATTGAAATGATTTTTTGAAGTTACAATAACAAAATTTCCTCCATTTTTAAGTTGTGATTCTGCAAATTATAAAAATAAGACAATAAGCATATTCAATAGTCATACAGCTGAACATTTTTCAATCAAATGAAAACAATGTAATCTTCAGTAACAACAAAGTAACAGCAAACTGTATTATATTTTTTTCTCACACTATCAAGGCAAGTTTCAAATAATTCAAAGTTAATTATTAGATATGGATGTCTAACCATGAAATGCCTCCTTATTGGAAAAAACATTTCTGCATTCTGTCATCATCCTTCATCTAAATTTTTAAAGATAAATTATAATAGCATGTTAGAAAAGCTCAAGTTATATAGCATTGCTAGATTAAAACATTCGACTACTTCAACAATCAATTTTTAAAAATACAAACCACCGAGTTAGCTGAGAATAATAGGCTCTGCATTGAAGATAACGAGATTAATACATTTGAAATCTAGTAATGGCTCGCAAATGATAAGTAAAAAAATGAAACGCAAAATAATCTTAAATTTGTGGAACATCAATGGAAGGAATTATAAATTATGTTCAACCCAGAGACATTTTATATTATAAAAATGGAGTAAGAAGCATGCATATACCCCTAACATGCAAATGGAAAATCTAAAAATTCGGCAAATGGAAGCACCATGTCAACTAAAAAGTAGTCTAATGGGAACAGTTTTTTGCTTTAAATGTATACCTGTAATTTTATTAACATAAATGAAGACATGGTTGCAGGAATAGGCACGGGTTCTGATCCCTGGAACAAGGGTTTATCACTTGAATGCAACTTTGGGGTTGGCTGAAACAAGCTCGACAGGTGCTTTACCTGAAAGGAAGAGAAACAAGAGGTGGAAACATTTGCAGTTTGACTTCTACAAATACACATTCTAAAATATAAAAATGCTGATAAATGAAAAGAAAGGTTATCATCTTACTTGGGATGTGGTTAACTTTTTTTTTAATTTGTGTGTCCTTTCATCATAACTATCTTTGATTGCTTTCTTAAATATATTCTCAGGTTGTTGAAGGCAATCACTGTGAACAGTGAAGCGGATTTGTATAATGACTAATCATTATTATAAAAATATACTCGAGCTAAGAATGAAGACAGAACAAACCTGAGCTGGGAAGGCCCCCCATTTGCAGCCAGTTCAAGTTTCATGACACCTGCAGAAGATACTTCACAGATTCTACAATACAACAAATTTGCAAAACTTCAATTCCTTATTTTCGAGAAATGACATTTTTCCACAGGCTCACAAATTTTACATTAGGATAAATATGTTTTCATGAACTAAACCAAGTAACTATTGATGACTGGCATAATGAATACATACATTATCTGTCCATTCAGCTTAAGCATTTTCCCAATCAATTGTTCGAAATAAAATAAAATAAAAAATACATTTAAAGAAAAAAGTTCAATTATTAAATCTCAAATTCCGAGAAATCAGCTTCCTTTAGTTGAAAGAAATTGAAAATCTGTACCTTGCAGAATTTTTAATCACTATATCTTTGGAGCATAGTTCACCAGAATCTATCAAAATTCCCTATATCTTTGGAGCAAAATTTCATCATTCTTCACAAACTATTACGTTCTCTGTTGCTATAACTGTTTACACAATGATTCAAGCCAAAAAAAAAAAGAAAAAAATAAGAAAAGAAAAGGGAGAATTGATTTGTCTCTGTTCTCTGTTGCTATAATTGTTTACACAAATGGATGGTGCAAAAGTTTCAAAATGTACAATTATTCAAGATTCTTTCTCCAAATTGAAGAAATTTTGAAGTTCGAAACTTAAGATTTAAGTATAAAAGAAGATCAAGTGTTCAAGATTTCCTCAGAGCTAATTAGGCTTGGCAACGGTTCGGTTATGGGTCGGTTCGGCCAAAACCATAACCGCTCCACTAATTTTTTGACCATACTATAACCGCACCATAACCACGTAAATCGATTCAGTTCGGTTCGGTTCGTATCTCGGTTCGACACGATTCGATTCGGTTAATAACCACGAAAATAAATTATTTTTTATAAGTTTATCCGTCAAATTGATATAAAATAATTTATGAAAAAAGTGAATGAAAACAAAAACATAATATTCCAAACGAAAATGCAAACATTATGAAACAATATTCCAAACGTAAATGTAAACATTATCCTAATTTTCAATTGTAAAATATAAATTTAACAAACAATATTATAAATATAATAATACTAAACTTTTCCTTCATTCTTAATTGTTGTGCATCGAAGTTACTTGATTCATTCTTCCCTACAAGTCTTACTAGCATAGATCAGTATTCAAAGTTGATTCCTATTCATCCTTGGCAATACTGGCACGTCTAGAAAAACATCGAACTCTGTTTTTACATGATCAGGAGTAATAGAATGACTAACAAATGTAACAAATTTTTGAAGGCAACGATAACTTGGACCGTAGAGGCAATGGAGTCGTGCGTGAGTTTGTGATTTGTGGAGAGTAGGGTTTGCATTTATATATTGTAATACTAATGCTATTATGGGCTAATGGTAAGTGGGCTGGCCGAATGAGTCAGGTAGATGTAATGAGGAGGGGAGGGATTGTGTGTTGATCTGGATAGAAAAGTAGTGTAAAGCCCAAAATCAATTCAATTGTATTTTTTTTTTATTTTTTTCTTTTTAGTGGGTAATCGGTTCGGTTTCGATTCAACGACGTAAATACCATACCCGCACCATTACGAACCGATTCATTAAAATCAAAACCATATCCGCCCCATTGCACCATCGGTTCGATTTTTTTCACCACATTCGGTTCGGTTAACCGCGATTTTCGATTTTGACGGTTCAAATTGTTATCTCTAGAGCTAATTAAGTGTAGTTCTCAAAAGAGAATTGATTTAGCGGGAGATAAATCATTCTTAAAATAGTTTGAAAAATTTTTGTATTCTTTTACTATCTTTATTTTTCAATCTTTATCGTTCAATCGTAGTCTATCTTTTTTCTGGAACTCATGCTACAAAGCATCCGAGTTTAAAAAAATTCACAAAAAAAAAGGAAAAGAAAAAAAAGAAATACCAATCCAGTCGCAACCCTAGTTTACATACACATCTCATACAAAAATACTTAAAAGGCATATAAAAGGAGAAAATAAACTCATTAAGATTAGTGAGTGCATGTAGTTCACCTAGTATATTTTATAATTATATCAAGTATAACATATGAAAATGTAAAGATACTATTTTTTAGCAAAACAATAAAAAAGAATCCCCAAAAATAGAAAGATCACATGAATTTCTTACCATTCGACGATTTCCATGAAAGATAAAAAAGAAATTAGCAAAACTTCTAAAATTCCATCGAGAAAAAATGATGAAACCAAGATGAAATAAAATAGAACCTTATGAGATGGAGATTATCCTGGCAGCTGCCAAAACCACCGGACAAATCCTGTGCAGATTATCTATTATTTTATAACGTTTATCAGAAGTTCGAACTAAAAAAAAAAAAAGAAAAGAAACAAAGATCGAACACAAAACCAGTAGATCTGAAGGAAATGGGAGAAAAATACAGACGAATGAAGTTTTGAGGATTAATTTCAATCTTTTGGGTTTCTTTGGTTGTTCATTTGTCGAGTCGGGAGAAGAGAAATGAGAGAAAACAGAATTGAAGTTAGGATTGAAGCAAAAGGTATCGACAATAATGGCTCCTTGTAGACTTTCGTTGAAAGTCTAAAGATACAGTAAAAGATATTTTTGGAATGAACAATATGAAACAATAAAAAAAACCTTAATAGTGCAACCCAGCTTGGCTACAGTGTGGATACCCAGTTTGGCTACAATAGTGTGAAAGCTCCTCCACCAAAATGAACAGTAAATTCCTCATTCTCTCTAGTGTAGAATTATATACATGGCAATATTTCTCAATTTTCATTTTAATTGTAGTGCGCCCGCGTGTGTGAGAGAGAGAGAGAGATTCCCTTAGTGAGCCAATTGACAAAAATTGAGCCTAGTGACCCAATTCAAAGTACAGCTACATCAAATGAACGTTTTTTCACTCAGAAAATATAAATCCATTACTTAATTATTTAAAATTTCACAAGATTCAAGGAGAAGCCACGAAACATGGAAATAAATCTAAATACAACTTAATCATCTTCAATTTTTCAAATGATGGATAAAACTATCGAAATTCTGAGAAGACGATCCCAATCCGCTTACATTCTTGGGAGCCATTTCCTTCAGTTTTATGGCACTGACTTTAATACTGTATTCCGAAAGCAGCATTTCTATTTTAGTCATAATTTCATGCCTTGATCTGAGTCCGTTCTCGTCCGGGTTCAGTCTCAAACCAATCTTCCACACATCGCAAATGTAATTCTGGTTGTGGAATTGATCCGAAAAATAAGGCCAACACAAGAAAGGAACTCCCATGCTTAAACCCTCCACGGTTGAGTTCCATCCACAATGGCTTAGAAAACAGGCGATAGAAGAATGAGCTAAAACTTTTTCCTGAGGTGCCCATTCGACAATTTTTCCACGCTTTGCCACTCTTTCCCGGAAGCCATTTGGGTACTTGACACTCGATCCATTAGCAAGATTTGATCTAACGACCCATAGAAAGGGCCGCCCTGAAAGTTCAAGTGCCAGTGCTAGTTCATTTAACTGGTCCTGACAGAAAACAGCTATGCTGCCGAAAGAAACATAGATCACAGAGCCAATTGGTTGTTCTTCTAACCAGCTAAAACACGTCGTATCCTCCAGCCAAAAGCTCCCATCAATGGCAGATGATTCCTGTTTATTAGTGCTAACCAATGGTCCAATAGGCAAGAAGTTGGGAATCAAATTACCAGCTGATGATTCGAGTTCATTAAATGTATTGCAGAGCATCCACTTAGCATGATTTGCTGTTTTTCCAGCAGCTGCGAAACATTCAAACGCTATCTTTTGAGTCTTTAGGTCACCTGGGATGCTCCATGTAAGTTCATTTCTTCTCCAAGGAGGTATATTATCTGAAAGGTCGATCAGTTCATTTTTCGCAACAGATCCTGCAGGAGAGTAAATTTTAAGAATTTTCGAACTCTTATAGTTTCAATTACATCACCTCCCTTCCAATTTCGAACCCTCATGTTTAACAACCTATCAAACGCACCCCATCATGTATAGTTCAAATTAATTTTCATTAGAGACCTAGCATGTGCACAATTTTCTTAAATGGTGGTGGAGATACTTGAACTTGCGCCTTTTGTTCGATCTCACAAACTGTTAGAGGACACGTCAAACGATGAACCCAAAAAAATAAATAAATAAATAAAATAAAATCATGTCATAGTGTCAGATGCTATGACATAATCCTTAATATAATGTTATATGATATCTTATCATTTGACCATTTAAAATACGGTTAGTTTTTCTATCCGTGTTATGCTATATTACCATATTGATTTTATTAGAATTGTCTCAAATTAACAGTTGACAGCATTTCATTGGTAGTTGGCCCAAACACATTTTCCAATTTCAAACGAAATGTTGCCAAGTGTTAATCTGGCATAATTCTGGTAAAATGGCATAACTATTTCCATCCAGTCATCTACTACCATATACACGTGTGTCAACATTTATGTTATTTTCCTTTGGCAAAGTAGATTAATCTCAAAAATAATAATAATAAAATAAAGGGTGGAGAAGAAGAAGAAGAAAATAGTACAAAAAGAGCAAACATAGAACTTTACCATATGTATCAAGATTTCCTGCTCGAATAAGCTTCGGAATTTGAAGTATCATGGCCATGCCTGCAGCTGCAGCAGGGTGAAAGACTACTGATTCAGCTCCCAATTTTTGTGTAACATCAAGTATCCATCCAATTGTGATATCAGCTATTACACAAGTAATCTTTTCGCCACTGTTTTCACAATTAATTTTCTCAATCAAATTTGTCAAATTTCCAGGCATCGTTCTTATAACACTTTCCATTAGCTCGATTCCAGGACTTCTGTCATCCTCAGGTGGCAATCCATCTGGAATTGAGATCAGTTGCATCCAGTTTTTCTTCTTATCCTCCTCAGACATTGCAGCAAACACTTTTCCATGTATATATTCCGTGTTAACGAATGTAACCTTAATCCCTCGACTGGCAATTCGTCGACACAATTTCATGAGCGGCCGGACATGTCCTTGAGCTGGAAATGGAACAGCCAATACATGTGGTCGTCTCTTGCCCTTAACTGCCATTGCTTCTAACGTTTGTGTTACCGTTCAACTGAGAATACAACTCATTACATAGGGTAGTAATTCCCCATTACTTGTTCTCTGATCGTTGCAAATTAGTTTTTTTAATAGTTTATGACAAAATCCGCACATCATCATTAGATTATTAAGAATTGGAAGCACATGAATTACATTTATATTTTAGAATGTTTCTAGACAAAAAATTCCGACAAGATAATATTTTTCAAGATCGGAACACATGAATAACATGTATAGTTAACGTGCTCGAGCAAATAATTATCCAACTACGACAACTTCATTTTTTTTCTTTAAATAAATTAGGGGAACACATACAGAAACGTGTATAGTTTAACACGGAAAATAAGTCAATTATAAGTGCTAGCATGAGCTTCATTTTTTTAAATTGATTATTGAGTCATATGAATAATAACAAGAAGGATATTTTAGTTTTAGGCTTCCTTGTTCATTCTTAAATAAAGATTGTTGTTAATAATTATACAAAGACAGTGAGTTCAGAACAATAGATCGAGGTTTCTAATAATCATGTGTAATAAATATGTATTGAATTATCAGAATTACCCGTTTGGCCCCGTTAAAATTATAATCTATTTTTTTTTCTCTTTCTCTTTCTTTTTATCAATCACACATTCTACAATAAAATAATATTATCGTAAATCTAAATTTTTTCTTTTTTTTTTAGCCACACATTTTTTAAGAAAATATTATTTCAAAAATTATAATTTCAAATAGCGGGGGCCAAAACCAACCCAGTAACCTAGCATCGCAATTATTAATTAAACAAGATAGTATGTGACACACTGAGAATACAATTTAAAAACAAATTTTAGGACCATAACTTTTATGGATTTTCAATTACATATTATAGTTACTTTTATCAAAATTCATTAAGCCCTTATTTGGTCCCCATTATTTATAATATATATTTTTCTCTCTTTTATTTGTAATCGCATATTCAATAAAATAATATTACAGAAAAATTCAAAACTTTTATTTATTCACATATTCTCTATTAAAATACTATTCCAAAATTCATTTTGGGCATAAAATAGATGTCAAACAAGCTCTAAAACTCTTATCAAAATAGTTGTGAAACAACCCAGTTTTATTAATACAGCCTATTTGCTGAAGATTAATATCAGATTTTTAGTATATTTTGATAAAAGTTGATGAAATGTGTAATTAATAAAGTATGAAATTTCTTAAATATGTAATTAAAACTGATTGCTAACTTTGAATTTGAATCTATGAATAATTTAAAATGAAATTTTGGGGCTGATTGATTGACAGAGATGGCACGAGAAACCGATGGTCTCCAATTTCTTTTCTGGATTATTTAAATCATTTCAGTTGGATTTTATTCGATTCACAGAATGCATTAAGGTGGCAGATCAACCATGTGAGACAAACCGACACCATTCTCAGAACATGAAATAAAAAGAAAGTGTTTACCATGTGGCCTCTAAAGGCATCTGACGCGGAATGGTCTTCACGCTGCCTTCTAAGGCAGGATCGATAAATTCGGTGATATCTATAAAATAATAACGATGGTTCTGGAAAATTTGAATATTATATGAATATCCTCATTCTAAACATGAAATCCAGATCTCTCGGTATTACTTCTCAAGACTAAGCTCCTGTTTGAGCTCCATTTATTTGAAATGCAATCTTCTGTCTTTCAATTTTTTCATTCACATTCTCCAATAAAATAATATTATATATAAATTCAAAACTTTTCATTTTTTTTTAACCGTACAGTTTTTTAAAAATTACTATTCTAAGACATATTTTCGCCGAAATTTGATATTAATGGAGCCCAAATAAGGGCTAAATAATTTCTCCACAACCTATTTATGCATGCAATACGTAGAGGTGATAGTCCGTATCTCTGGCAGAGTCTAATGTAGGGTCATCAGTTTATTCAAAAGGCATTTGGTGAGAGAGAAGACATTTCGATTTTGGGCAATTCGATCCGACTAATACTAAAAAACAAGCACACGAATTTCAAAATTGATCTGTTCAAAATTTACACTTTTTAGAATGCTGCTTTAACCTTATTAAAAAGAAAAAATAAAAGAGTAAAATTAGAGCGAAAATGAATGAAAATCAGCTATCGAACCATCACATCAATCTATAATTAATCATGCTACATGTACATCTTCTTTTACATATTTTTGACATTGTGCCATGTGACGACACATCATTAGACAATTTAAAAAAAACACACATTTCAGCCTAATACTTTCCGAAGTTCCACATAGAATGTCACCAATATGTAACCCACGAAATGTATACTTAGCATAATTCATCTATAATAGGCATCAAATTGCTTTGTACAAGGACAAGGCATTCGTGATTAAAAGCGCTTTCTTAAAATATTTCCTTTCTTCTTTTTGTAGGAATATAATTATTAGTGAATAAGTATATTTAGGAATAAATATTTGTTTTTCAGTTCATTAAAGTTGAAAAAAATTAGATCAATTATTTCAACAATAAGTTAAAGTTCTCCTACGACCTACGTGACAGTAAAGTAAAATATTAGAAATATTTGGAAAATAAATAAAATTTCAAGCTTCGTCGAGAATGTCCTAACCTTAATCAAAGCAAAATTACCATTTCCAAAATATATTTGTATACGTAATTTTTTATAAAATATTTGCTTATTAAGAAATATTATTTACCTTATCATCAAAATAAGTAAATATCAACTTTAAACCTACTTATTTATAAGTAAATTTAGGTATAATAAGCTTAGAGTAAACATGTTCTTTTGTGAACATAAGAAACAAAGATAAATGATGCTAGAAATTAAGGAAACAATCGGGTGGAGCCTGGGGGGATGAGTAAATTTAGGTATAATAAGCTTAG